TGTTCATCGGTGAAGACGAAAGACCTATTAAATTATCTTAATTTGGCAGGATAGATTTAGTTTTTACTCTTCTATACTAGGGTTCTTGCAAGGAATTTGGTACCAAAACGGCGAAAAATCGCTAATTGAGCTACATGGAAGTTATCTAACACAATATGTGTACAGTCAATCTCCATTTCCTTTGAGCTAACGATCTTTCATAAGTTTTATTTTATTTAAAACTTTATGTATTTCTATATTACTAAAATATATGTTTTCACTTATTTAAGTACTACCTACTACTGACAGACTTACCAACACCGCGTTATCACATCTCAGAATGGTTACAGGCTCCTCGGGGAGGTATGCAGATCTGAGGTCAATTATTGTTTAGTCTGATGAAGTGATAAACAATAATAAGTCAAGACGTAAAGAGGGGTTTTAAAAAAGAAGTGGTAAGAAAGAGTTAAAGTGCTCCAGTGCACTGGCTCAAACAGAAATAAATAAATATCATCTTCATGTCTGTTTTCCATGCCGGCTTTATGTTTTTGATAATGTGTAACATTCAGATATGGTACCACTTTTTTAAATCTAAATTTGACGAGACAGCTGCAAATACCAGATATCTTATGTAAATATATCTTATGTTCAGTATTAAAATAATTGTTATAAAAATATTTATACAATAAAGCAAAAAGTATCATATTACATCTCATTTCACAAAACGAATTTTGCAAACTGGAGTTATTTTAACCGCATTTACATAAAATATAACATGGAATAATATGTCTTTCTCAGAAATGCTCACACTTCATATACATGATAAACAATTACATTCTACATATCAACATTTGTATAAACAATATATTAATAAATAATCATTGATAACAGTAAACAATAATGTTTCAATGTATTTGTTTATATGAATTTGATTTGTCATCCAACAATTCACTTAGCAAAATTTTATGATTATTCTATGGGTTAAAGTGTTATCAATTTATGTCTATCAAATGCGAGTCCCCAATGATATGAAGCTAGAAAAATAAATTTAATATAGTATTATATATAGCACACTTATAGCTTTATATATTTTAATATATATCAATTTTTTATTTATTTCAGAATGTTTTGAAACAATGTGCAGGGTATATTTCTTTGAAAAGATACCATGAAAAATTTAGATTTTATTGGATAATTTCAACTACTCTGGCCCCAATATATAGTGATGCATAACATAAAGTACTGTCTCAAGTTAGCATCTCAATCATCTTTTACGGCTTATTTCTAACAACCTTAGAAAATACTATGAACTAGTGGATTGTAACGTAGAAGACAAATGAGAAATACAAGGCCATTGCATAAAAATTTTTAGAGATCATTGGTATAAACTAGTGGGTATACCAATATACTTGAGTATATTAGTCATTCGATATTGTAATGCAGGTGAGATAGAATTAACTGTTAATTTTATCTCAACATTGCGATAGCAACCCATATTTCACTTAGCCATAATCTACATATTTTTTCCAAGAAACTCTGAAACTCTGCACTACGCTTTTTCGTAGAGTATCGATATTAGTAAAATGAACTGATTTATTCATTTAATTTATTATGAATTTAAGATTATTATGAATTTCAATAACTGCAAAATATATATCAACAATAGATATGTTTCTCTATTTATTTACAATAGAGCAATTATTGTGTAATGGACAATTCTTTAAGTTGGTTGATTTGACTTGGCATTAAATAGTTATAACTTTTAAGCGTGGATGAATATAGATAATAAAATTTCACTGGGTAACCTAAAGTTTTGTATATTATCAGGGGAATATTTATATATCTTTCTTTTATATTACAAGATTTTTGTTTTATATAATTATAAAACTGTATTATAACACTCTTATAACTTTGTACTATATTATAGGATTTTTAATATATATTATAATAGAACTTTATTATAGTACTG